AGCACTTTCGCGACTTCTTTACTCATACAAAGCTCGATGGGGCTCTTTTCGAATTCAACACGTATATTTTTATACTGTGATGGCATTTAAGGGTTAATGTAGTATATCTTTTAACAGTGTCGAGGCTATTCAACTTCTTGACACGGGCCTAGTAGAAGATAGAAAAGGACAAAACCATGTGAATTAGTGAATTAGTGTAGGTGTAAAAGTGGTAGGTGAAAAAAAGTTATTTCACAAGAACAGAGTGTCTATTGTTATTGCACACTTTGTTATCCTTTTTTGTAAACTGGCAATTAGTCTTAAGTTAGGATAGATCATAATGTTCTCTGATACAGAGAACGGGCTTAGGTTCTCAATTGCGAAAGCGAACCGACACCCTGACATTCCTGTATATAATTTTGAGGTAGTTCTTTCAATATTCTTAGTGCTGATGTCGCAATCGTGGGATAGCACGGTACAAAAGCTCATTATTAATATCGGGATTGCTGGTGGATTCGCTAGTGACAGAAAAATAAGTTATAAAGAACACTTTCAACAGTATGAGAAGAATATATAATATTTTTGTGGCTTAATATTTACTGAAGTAATTTTTCGATTATTCAAATACGGGTTTTTCAGGTCCTCATTAAGAGTATCGCTTTAAGTTAATTAACAGACAAACTCTGATCAGATTTTTAGGATTAAATAATTCATTTACTAATAAGTTTACTAAATAATGAGGTTGGTACGGGTGTAATATTTATTATACTTCGAAATCAATTGATGAAGTTTTGTTGTATTTTCGTATGATCATTATTCATTTACTAAACAGCGTGTGTGTCTTTAATTAGAAACTCGTAAATAGATCTAAATGTGTAAACTTTCTACTTATAATTCAGGTTGCGAACAGCTTTACATTACAATGAAGTAAAAACAACTTTTTAGCAAGCATTTAATTCGGGATACGAAATCAAAGTATCAATAATATCAATGATTTATTATAACAATAAATAACACACACATTCACACACACAAATAAATAAATTACACACTTTATTTACACTCGTGGTTTCGAAAAACCTTTTTGGTTTGGTTCCATTTAATCGGTCATCGGTAGCGTTGGGAACTAGGAGGTATTTAAAATTATTGGTAGGCGTTGTAAGCCAGTTCCTGGGCCATCTCCTGTGGCTCTGCGTCCCTCCGGCGGCGAGTGGCGGCGTACGCGGCGTCCCATGGTCCGTGGGCGGCTATTTGAGGGTGAGAGTTGTCCGCTGCGATCTGGGTAAACTACAAGGTTAATAATAAAGCATTAAGAAGCAGTCAGAGGGAGAAAATGTGCAGTAAATAGTGCATTGCGGTATTTGTGCAGTTGTGCGTAATTTTATTAATAAACGTAAATCTAAGTAAATATATACCTTCTTGCAAAGTTGGAAAATGGCGAGACCGACGGAAACAACGAAGGAGAAGAAAGACAGCTGCAGGGCGTTCCAGGCCTTCAAACCGAGGACTCCGATAGCGAGGGGGATGAGGGTCATAGCCTTGAGGAGCACGAAGACAAGGATGGGGACGATGATCTTCTTGAGCTTGGCTTTACGTGCTTCACCCACTGCTCTGGCGCCCTCCTTGTTAAACTTGATGTTGAGGCTGAGCTCATCGTTCTCCAAGTTCCTGGGGCTAACAGTGATCTTAGTATCGGCGATGGGCATCTTGAAAGTGACGTCATGGGACTGGATGTAGTTCTCAATGCTGTCAAGGAAGTCACCGTTAGATCTGCCCGTTGCTTCGTTGCCATTCTTTGTCACTTCAACGGCATCAGAGATCTGGAGATAAATATGTTTTCAAATTAAGAAATAATATATAAACTTAATAAATTGATGTTTATTTAATGCTGTAATCTTACCTGGAAGGATTCCTTCGTAAAGATGCTGTCTAATAACGACATGACCTTGTACTTGATGCAAGCTGTGGGATCAGATCCTTCCGCACACCCGGATCTCATTTCTTCAACCATCCCATCCATGGGAGTGCCCTTCCAGAAGCCATGCTTGGGCTGCGCTAAGGCACACCCAAACAAAGCGATAAAGCACACCACTTTCACGGACGCCATTGTTCTTGGTGCTAACTGGAGGACGGTTGGTGAGATTGTGATAGTTTCGACAAGGACCCAGCTCTTTTTATACAGCTATTTCAAATTCAGAACGTAGTCCTTAGTTCCGGTACGTATTGTCTTGCTATGTATCAGTCAATTGCGCACTTACGATCTTTTGGCACGTGTTGGATCGAAGTGTAAGGGAAAGCTATTTGATACGAATCCTCTTCGGTATCTCAGGTCCGAAAAGGCTTAACGTTTAATGTGTTTGTTAGGGGCGTTGTCGTTTTAGAATTACAGTGTTCGAAGCACCTTTTCTGTTGTTTGTGACACCGTACCCTGATTCGATGGATGCGTGATTCAATTCTTTTGTCTCTGTTTTATTGGTGGAAATTTCTATTGGTGTAAGCAAGAGATAGTGATAGTTGTTTGTTATGGAGGAGTGGACTCGTATCGGGCGCAACTTGAATACGTAATTTCCTTCAAATCGCTATCGTTGAACTTGTCATTTAGGAGATAATCTTATTGAAAAATGGAACAGCTGTTTTTTATTACATTTTCAAATACATTTGTTAAAAATATTTTTTATACTTATTTGTCACTAATTGTATTCATTTATTTGTCTAACGCTTACACTACACTAAAAGAATTTGCAACTTTTTCGGATGAATCCGGAAAGACACATTCAAAGTCAGGTTACACAATTGATTGTCTCTGAAGGAATACAGAGAGCATATAAATATTTTAATTAAGATTTAGAATATTTTAACCACCAATATTTTTACCACTCTTCAGTTTAAAGCAAAAGGGTTCGTTTATTTCAGCTCTTTTAAAAATATTTTATGCTTCTGTATTATGTTATATTATGTTTCTTGAATATATTTATAATAAGCTGTGTTTTGTGGTTTCGTTAAGGTCGTAGTCATATCTTGAGATTCTTTTGAGAAATGTTTGTATTTTTAATTATTTAATGTTGTGTATGGTCGCGTGTTATATATCAGTAACCGATAAATAAATTGGAAGACATACAGTCAAAACCGTTTACGACGACAACGTTTGGAACAACATACCGGTTATATTGACCAAAATCAAAGGTCACGGCTGAATTCTATTGTATTAGGTGTTTCTCGTGTATCGATAAAAAGTATGGATTTTAAATACCTTTTCTAGCATTACAAAAGGGGGGGGGGGGGGGGGGGGGGGGGGGGGGGGGGGGGGGGGGGAAAAAAAAAAAAAAAAAAAAACCCCCCCCCAAAAAAAAAAAAAAAAAAAAAAAAAAAAGGGGGGGGGGGGGGGGGGAAAAAAAGGGGGGGGGGGGGCACCCCCCAAAAAAAAAAAAAAAGGGGGGGAAAAAAGGGTTAAAAAAGGAAAAAAAAATTTTAGGTTTTTTTTTTTTTTTCCCCCAAGGAAAAACGGGCAAGGGGAACTCTTGGGAAAAAAAAGTACTGAAATAGGTGTTATAAAACTACAAATATAATTAAATGCATTGCAATAGTTAATTAACGTTAAGAATTATAATATTCACTTTCACCGATGCGGAAGTATTCAGAACGCATTAGTATGCACTGTACTCGCCAGCAATGTATTGGAATTATAATATAGCGTCAAATATATTATCTAGGACACATTAACTTTACGGTACAAAAGCAATTACACTAGGCTGATGGTAGTCATACTCAGAGTTACGCTTTTATTAAGAGTTTAGTGAAAATTAAGTAATTTGGTAAAAATATTAATAAGCTAGTAATAAGACCCAAACAGAAGCTAAAAGGGTTCTCACTGTTCTTAAGTCAGTAGTTAACTGATCGGGCATTAAGTTTTGTTGGATACACCGGTTTTTTAACACATAGTTATAATTAGTAAAAGAGCAGTGTTGACCAAATGGCTTTAGCGTGCGACTCTCAACCCTGAGGTTATATCCTACCCTAGGTTCTATGCCCGGCTTTGGGCAAAGTCCATCGGTGCACAAGAGGAAATCTGGACCTGGACCGAAAAAGTCGACGTTGTGTGTCAGGCACAGAAGGCTCATCACCTACTTCCCTATAAGAAAAAATAAATGATCAGGAAACACATACAGAAATCTGAGGGCTAGACGGTATGCCTGTAAGACTCTTAGATATTACTCCTTTAAATGAGATTTAAGGTGTGCGGGGTTATTTGGAACTCGCTACTGAGAACACTAAAACCCGCCTAGGGCGATTGTTGGTGGTGCCCAAGGCACCTGGGCCGGCCCTAGGCAGGATACGGTATCAGTGGAGCCTGATACGCCTTCCGTCTCGCGATGCGACGGTTACGGCCACTTAGTTTGGAGTGGCACTAACACAACAAGTATCCAACTCTGATCAGGCCATTCGCTTTCGTAACAAGAGCTGGGAGATATCGGGTCCAGTACTTGCGATGCATCACCATCCATTCTATTACCTATAGGTACAAACTTCGATATGATGTTTTTATTAGAACTAATTCTGATTTATTAATATTAAATATATTAGAATTAAATTTACTTATATGTACTTGAAAGTATTTATTTAAGTGACATTGTGGCACAGAATTATCTTCTCACTATGATAATATTTTTATGATATACGCTTAAAAGAATGAAGCTGGATTAAATAATGATTACATCATTCTGGTATCTCATAGTAAACATTGACTAAATAACTCGCTACGTCAACAAAATTCAATGCAAACTGCATTTAGACCTACGCAAAGTCGAGGCTCTGTAATCATAAATTCATTGCCACGCATAGGAAGCGCACACGGACCAAAACTAAGGAGCGAAACTTCTCATATGGTAAGCCAGCCGCCATTCAACCGAACAACCGTTCAGTGTTCAACAGACATCATACTGCGTGGACAAAGATATGCCAGAGTCTTAAAATTAGTTCTGTGCTCAGCTTTCTATTCATACCATTCCTTTAAAGGCGAGAGAATGTCGAAGCCATCTGTTACAAACTTTAGTAAAAGAACAGGGAGCCCCTTTCAGAAGGTAGATCAAGAAAAAGACGAACAGAAGATAGTTCACGAAGAAGTCCTACACAAAACAAATTATGAAAAGCAAAAGGAAAAAAGTGAAGAGTTAGTTCAAAAAGTTAGTAAGAAAGCAGCTGAATACCATTCGAATAAACCTAGTTCTGGTGTGTTCACTGAAGTAGTGACTCATGGTGCATTTACAACTAAGAAGGTTGAGACAGAAAAACCTAAGGAAAATCAACCAATTTCAAAGAGTAGTAATGGGAACTCAAAACCCCTCCTAGGATTCCCTTCATCAGCCAACGACTTAGCACTGGACGCAAAAACGGATCTAGAATCTGATCCAAATATATCCAAAGAAGTCAGAGAAAAAGTAATTGACAAATTGTTTACTTTAGTATCAATGGTGCAACACACCTACGAGTCAAAAGTGAGAATCATGACTGAATTTGAAAGATTCAAGGACACCCATCTCAAAAACGACGTGAGAAGAGAAAAAGAACATTCAGAGCAACTTTATAAGCTTAATATAAATTTTCAAAGTGAAGTTATTCAAGCGATACAACAACTGCGAAGTGAGTTAGATTTATCGCGGAATTTTTCTAGTAATTTAGATGATTCGAATTTATTATCTTTAAAAGATAGTGATGTAAAATTTTCATCTTCGAGGGATTGCCAATCTGTTAACAGTGATTCCCAAATCGAATACAATGTAAGCTGATTTTGTTATTTAGAATAAATCAATTGTAAGCTTCTTTTGTTTTATTTGATCTTATAATATATTTGCATAGTAATTGCTTGTCAAGGTGGTAATGAAATATGCAAAATGTAGGCGTTTGTGGGAGAATACGACGTCATCTTTGATGCAATTTTACTCTTACAAAATACTATAATATTATAAAAGATTATACTGTAATATAAGTATGATTTACTACTTTATCAATTCCTTAAGTATTAACAGAAATAAAGATCTATTATTAGTAGTTCCTACATATTTGAAATTTTTTACTCTTATTGGAACGATTACCGCACGGACGAAGACGCTACTGTTGGTATAATGACGTGGTGCAACTTCCATATCAAAATGGGTACTATTTTAAGCGATTACATGTTCATTAATCTGTGCATCAGTAGTTTAAAATTTATTCATTTGTTATTACTACTATAGTAAGCTAATTTTAATGAAAAGTAAGAATACGTTGTAATCAAACGTTTTAAACAAGGAAAACCCGAATGAGCGTCTGTTATTGAATCCAGTTCTTACTCACATGCGGTTTATGTGTCTCGTATAGGTCACGTAGCTGTTTGGTTGTGCTTTAATCTTATCAGAGTTCAAATGAAATACAATTTTAACCAATAAATCTTATATTCCTAAAGAAATGAAGTGACTGTGATTGTTTTTAGTAAGTAAATTGTGTTCGTTATTTAAAACAATAATTATGGATTATTGAGTGCTATTATAATGTTATTTTGCAGAAATGGCACTACTGTATTGCTGGATAGTCGTCTGTATAATTGGTTTAGTTGAAACTAATCCAATTTGCACCGATATTAGTTTTGAACAAGTGTCATGTGTTCCTGGAAATTATAGTCAAGTTGTGCTAAGAAAAGGCGTTGTATCCGAGAATAATTTAACAAAATTAATAAGTCTTAGCAGTTGTAGGATAAGCGATGTTGATTTTGAGTCATTCGATGGCGTCCCTGCGCTATTAGAACTAGATCTGTCTCAAAATATTATTACCTATCTACAGCTTGGTGTCCTGGATGAGTTCAAACAGCTCACGCATTTAAATCTCTCGCATAATTACATAAGAAATTTCCCCCTAGGATTATTCGACCAGAAACCAAACCTGATAAGTCTAGACTTAGGTTCTAATAGATTAGAAACTTTGGAACTCGGAATATTTGATCCATTAACGAAATTAGAGTATTTAGATATTTCTTGGAATTCTTTAATAGGGTCAGATATAAGCCCATACATATTTGATTTAAACAGACGAATAAAAACATTGAAATTATCAGGAAACAATATGAATGAAGCCAAAGATAACTTTTTGCACTCTTTGACAATGTTACAAGTGCTTGCATTAGAAGATTGTAAACTTGATGTTTTTCCACCTTTTGCATTGCAGGGAAGTATGAAAAAGTTGCTGAGATTGGATTTAAGTTTAAATAAAATTCGAGAGATTAGTAACGATTTATCTTTTCATAATCTTACAAGTTTAATTTCTCTACATTTGACGTCGAATGATATTGTTGATATTGGAGAAAACGTCTTAAAGCCTTTGAAAAAGATTAAGGTCTTAGTATTTCGAAATAATCGAATAAAAGATATACCAGACACCCTATTTCAGAATATTCCAGTGACTTTTGTTGATTTGGCCAACAATAAAATAGAATACTTACCAGTGAACGCTTTCAGAGGTACTAAATTAAGGAATTTTAATATAGCAAGCAACAGGATTACTTATTTACAAGATAACTTTTGTTTAGAATTAAGGAATTCTGGAGCCGCGTTGACGAAATTTTATTTTAATGATAATCCCTGGCAATGTGCCTGCTTAAGAGATGTACTTAATGAAGTCAAAAAGTTTGGAGTTACCTATAATAATAAAAAATATGATGGCAAGCATCCAGTGTGTGTGGTACCTGATGATTTTGTATGTCATCGTCATTTGCAATATAATGAAAACGTTTATGAAGTGTTTGATAGTAGATAAATTGTAAAATATTTGAGAATATTACTAGATATTAAATATGTATTTAAATGTTTTTTTGATAAATTGATAACCACGCCACCTAGTGTCTAATTTAGGCATTACATTCCATTTTGTAATACTTTTCGCAACGTCTCAAATATATAGTTGATGCTTAGTGCAGTGGATAGGTGGCGCTAGTTATTATTGAAATATTTATCCAAGCCAATGCCAAGTCAACTTTGGAACTTTTTAAATAATAATTAACTTTTAATTTGGATTCTACAATGTATCGATGCGCTAATTAATGATTTTTATTAGGCATAATAGGTGTTTGTCATTCAAGAAATATATTAAATTTATAAATTCGTGTAGTGTGGACTCACTCACACAGTTTCCGCACTTAGACGCATTTGGTCCGTTGTGTATAAAGTCCTGGCTAATTAAGCTTATTTCCTTTCAGAAATAAAAGATTTATAAAGTAAATTAATTATAATCATTTGTGGCCGGAAGGATCACCAAGGGTATGCAATAAGTGAAATTTATAGAAAATAACAAAGTGGTTTTGGTGAAAATATGCCAAAATATAAAAAAAAAACAAAACTTGTAACATTATAATTGCAAAAGTAAATGAACGAATATAAACTAATGAGCATATGACTGTCGCAGCCAACTAGTTTAATTAGTCGTTCAATCAACAACCTAGCCTCTTAACTAAATAGCACCTTTTGACTAGCTTGATTGATACTCAGCCTTTGAATGATATTCAGCCATTTGGCTAGGCAAATAATAAATAACTTATATCGATGACGTTTCATTACCTGCCTTGCCTGTTCATTTTAATTTAGTTTCACTTTCAGCCACCTAACGCGGAACCTTTCTAAACTGAAGTCTGAATGTGAATAGGCTTGTCTATGGACATCCATAGATAAGCGATGGACAAAACATATTTGTTACTATTAATTTATCTTCTCGTTAATACGAAATAAAACTCATTTCACGGATGCGAATTCAGTGCATGTCAGTTAACGTACTCAGTGAGGTGTCACACTCCAAACGTCGAGTTATGTGAATAATTTAATTTAATTGTATGCCCGTCTCACCTCCCTCGGACAAGCAAAAAGCTGGGGCGGCCGCAGAGCACGCGAAAAATAATAAACAGCTGAAATACAGTCTTTCCGTGCCGTGGGGTTCAAGCGCCCAGGCGCTGATTAAAGATTTAAATTGGCGCCTGCTACCGGTGACCCCAGAGCTGGTGCTTTCGTCGCTCAACGAATAAGTATCGCAATACAGAGAGGAAATGCTGCCAGCGTTAAAATTTAAATGTACACTGCCACAGGGACCAAACTTTTTGAATTTGTTTTAATTGTATATTTATACATTTTAAATTCTTTTATTATTACTATGTAGGTTAAGAAAATTGTAAACCTATTCATATAAAAGACTTGTTATTTAAATTTTCTTTTTGTTGTGTGGCAATGAAGTATAAATAAATAAATATATTAAAACTTGAGGTACGTGCGCGCATAACAAATCAATTTTACGATATAGGTTAAAATCAAGCGTTATTTGTGCTACTGTCAATTTGAATCTCACGTTATACACTAACTTTAACGATAGGTTGAGCCGCTAAATAATTCATACATCATTAAAGATACGTCACATTTATCGTAAAAAATGCAATATATCTTATTATTGGCACTTCAGGCCACAGCTGTGCGCGTCGGCATTCCCTAACCGCAATTTATTCCTAATTAGCTCTATTCGAAACAGTTTTAGACAATTTCATAACCAATATGAGACCGCACTGAACCTAGCAAAAAACCAACAACACGTGCATGAAATTTTATAAAATCAACATCTGCGAAATCGGTGTTTTTTACGTGAATTTCTTTTGCGCACAAAAAAGTTGGGGTGCTTTTTAAGAGATCGCGTATCGCTCAGTTTCCGTACACCTAGCCACTATTCAGTTGTGTGGAAATAAATTATTTTATTATCTATAGGATGCTAGAGTAGTTACCTCACGTTATTTCACCTGATTCGTCGTTATGATACGGGTTAAATTTAACTAAATTAAGGCATTAATGAATACAGACCATATTACCACCGTGGGATTTGAGGTCGCAGTGCTATATTACCTTTTTTGTTGACAACGCTGTATATATTATAGTCAACAGTATCTTGATGCTTAGTATGAAAAATAACAAAACTTTATCATTTTCGTGACCAAATGAAAAGACGCGCAAATAAGAATTATATTCGAATATCGACCACACCGGTTCAGTTTCCGCACTGACTACATCTAGAATAAACATTTTTCCGATTAAGTAGAATATTAAATGTTTTAAAAGTTATATAGACTTTGAATGTTTTTTAAGTGATGGATTGGTTTGAAGAAATAATTTTTTTATGTTATCGATGCAGTATATAGTTGAAAACCTTCTGTTGATTATTTGTTTTATACAGCCTGTATCTAACTTTTGATATCTCAGGTAAAGCGAAACTTTTTCTAATAAAATGATTCCTCAAAAGCCTTAATTATCTCGCACGGCCATCGCAGTTTTTTACCAATTCACCCCGGCTCTGTTCCACACCATTTGGCAGAATACCTTTTTGTATTTCCAAAATTATGTCCATATTATAAATTACGAATATAATACGGATATGATGGCATGACATATTTTATTTGACGTTTCTAAATTACAAAACACATTTTTCAATCGGTCGGATATAATCTGCAAACTAAATTGGTTCTACCATTTGAGTCTATTTATTCTGATGACTTGTTTGAAATCTTCGTAAAACGTACTAGTTTATTATAGTGTCATCCTTAATGCATGGTGTCGGCATAGATGTTATAGCGTCCAGAATGTGTTGATCACAAAGAATCTTGAAGGCTCTGATTTTTAGGCATGGTTACGCTCTCCAACGCTTACTAACCAATACTAATGCACCTAAGAATTAATTGTTACTAAACTGGCAAAATAAACTCTTATCAAAAGCAAATGTATTACATAATTTACATAACTCTCCGTGTCAAGTGCTTAACAGCAGTTGTGGCACGGTGGAACTCGTACTCGTAAATAACGCGATATTTCATGTTTTCCATATTATAAATAGAGTGACGCAAAGAAAAATAATTAAAACGGGAACATTAAATAAATCGTGGTTTTCGAAAAACAAATGCACGAGTAAATAGCTGTACAAAATTGAATTTGGAATTCCGAACCAAAGAGGAGATATTTGAGTTCAAAGTGGCCAGTAGGACAAAACGCCAATTCCATATATAAGGACCTAATATAAACAATAAATATAATCCATATAACTTATGTTAATTAATAAATAAAACACTAAAATAAATTTAAATTGTTTGGTCCCATTGGCAGTGTCCTTTAATGTTGGCAAGATGTAACTTTGTTTAAAAATTTTAAGAGTATTTCATTTACTTCGCTTTGATTTTTTTTGCACTTTTAGCACGGGTTTCCTGGAAGAGATAACATATCGTTCACCGTCCGTTGCACTCAGCCGTGCCTGTTTTATGTTTATTGTTTTCGTGTGTGCAATGTGTAAATAAAATAAACCCTAAAATTGACTAATATCATTAAAACGTAAAAAAAAAATCGTGATCGTTTGGTTTTTTCCAATAGGCAAGTAGGAGATCTTCTGTGCCTGAAACACGCCTTCCTTAACCGTACGAGTGACTGTTAAATGCGAACATAGACAGAAATTAAATTAATCCACGCCTATAGACCTCAGGGATGACAGTCGCACGCCACAGCCAAAGTACCTAATACTCCTCTAAATGCTCATTAATAAAAATGTCTTTAAGCAATCAATATGTTTTAAGTTTTATTAAGTCAATATATTACATTATATATGTTTTAAATAAAATAAATAAATAAATTGAGAATTCTATAATTTTTTAGTTTATTAAAACCTGAAATTTGCTCAATGATATAATATTTAAAATATTTACAGCATTTTTAAAGGTTGGATTACACGTAGACAAATGAAATATTTAGGCTGAAATTTCATTGCTACTTTAATTAAATACGGTTTTTTATTAATGTAAATTTTGCGCTTAATAACTAGTATTGCTATAAAACATACAATATGCAAAGAAAAGTAAAGCAAAGTTATCTACCTTACTTGAAATACAACAAAATATAAAATCTTAAGAAAATCTTACTCCTACAAAAAGCCATATTTCTGACTATGTTGCATGCAATGTTTTAAGGACGGCAACGCACTCGCGAGCCCTCTGGCATTGAGAGTGTCCATGGGAGGTGGTATCACTTAACATCAGGTGAGCCTACGGCCCGTTTTTATAGCCCGTAAACAGAGTTACATTAATGTACTTATAAAAATTATAAAAAAGCACCAATGCTTTTGTTTTTGATACAATTTGCCTTATTTCAATGGTCAATTAAAACGAGAGTTGCGCGGGTTTTTCTTTCAGACAGTGTGAAACTTAATTTTTATCACAGATAAGAGTATATTATGAAATATGTGTCTTAAAATTGCATGATTATTTTTTATATTAGCTAAAGTAAGTCTTATGAACTTATCTAAACAAATTTGTAGAAGAAAGCAAAAGCATTTCACGGCGGATGTTGATCGGGACAGCTGATGGTGGCACGAGCCATACGTTCTTGTCAAAAAATTTAAAAAACTTCGCTCAATTTGCCAAAGGTAAGACAGGAAGAGGCGGCGTATTGTGGCCACTTCCGCGGTTCAGACGATAGGTTTATGAGGACATGACGACAGTACCTGTAAGGTAAAAGATACTGAGAAGGGGACTTAGGCCCTTAGGACACTACTGTTAAGGCATCTTGACTAAGAAGCCCCCAGAAGTGAATAGCAACCACATTCTTTATAATTATCTTATTTGTATACTACATTGTATCTTTTTATTATTTAATAATCATGAAACTAAGTTTAATGTGTCAATTGTTAACCATGCTCTTTATATTTGAGCACAGTTAATAATTTGAAATGTATTCAGTATTTAAAAAACCAAATAC